TTTGAGATAAAAAAAAACAAAAACAAAATAAAAGCAATTTAATTATACATAGTTTATGCAAAATAAATAAGCAAATTATGTCCAAAATAGGAGTGGGAAGAATGGATGTTGGAACGTATTTCTTCAGCGTATCAACATCAGGGTTTGCTCAAGAGGATATCACCTTTCAATTTGTATTTATTCCCTATTTTTTAGACAAACATGTAAAAGTTCCACATCAAAAAGAGACTAACATTATTTTAATTGGGGTACATGTGGTCTTAAATGATTATTTTTACAATTAAGCTATAATCTGCAAAAAAACGTCTTGACCTTCATCTTTTACCGTTTTTAGAGCAATCTGTCATAGAATGTGATAACGAATGCAATAAATACAAAAAGACATAGCCCGGGATTGAACCCGGGTTCCTGCATCGTAAGCGCACAGTTTAGACCACTAGACCACCGATTCACACGAATAGAGACACTGTGAAGAACGGAGTCAAACTAGAAAATTCTGCATCACACGTGAACTTTTATCAGCTGTCTCAATTGTTCAAAGGCATCCCGATATAAATCCTCGTTTTAACCCTAACCCTAACCTTTTTTAGTTCTGCGCCACATGTTATTTTACCACTGATATTAAGTGAGCCGCGCGGAGTTCTGGCAACCCGATCACGGACTTACATGACACTTCCTGATTGGCGAAACGGCGGAGGGTAGGACATCAAAATCAAAACAAAACAACTTTTACGGGTCGTAAAACAAATTTTGATAATCAAATATCTCGGCTGAACTACTGTTATCAGTTAAAGATGAATTCGAAAAGAGTATGATTTAATAACGCCTTTTGAAATATTCGGGTCATTTAATGATGACTTGACATGCAAATATTACATATTGCTCCTTTAAATGTGGCGAAATGTTGAAAGGTTCAAGGGGGCCGAATACTTTCGCAAGGCACTGTATACATATTGATTTTATATATATATATATATATATATATATATATATATATATATATATATATATATATATATATATATTAGGGCTGTCAAAATTATCGCGTTAAATTCACGTTAATTACCGTTTTCATTAACGCGTTTAAAAAAAATAATTAACGCATTAACTGCCATTGACGTGTTAACACGTCAATTGCGTTTTTTTTCCCGCTATTTTCACGTTCCCAGATGTCTATTGTATCAAATATGTAAGGCTTGAGGCAATATTTTATCAAGCCAGCAGATGGCAGCATTGCTCTATGAATGGTTTGGAAACATGTGCCTCTTTTCTCTCAGCTTTCTGGTGATTTCAATAAAACTTACCTCTACTCGACTGGGGATTACAGGGGAACGAAACAAGCTAGAAACAAAATTATTTTTGCTGATGAACGTAGACAGTCCATTCTTTCAGAATATGGTTTTGGATTTCAGATAGTCATAGTACACAAT